GTTTGTTAAAAATACAGAAACACCCACAAACAGCACTGGTAGAAGATGATGCCTTTATTAAAAATAACTATTAGGGATGTAAATAATGTACAGTAGTACTTCGTGTTATGTGGAAAAGTTTTGTATAAATAGGGTTTCGGCCAATCAAACGACATTGAAATTTTACTATAAGAGTTTGCTATTTCATTCAAAAGGTTTACGATATGTAGAAGCACCGTGCCAGGCTAAAGCAAACAGTTCTTGAAAATGCAAATAACTGTCAGTCTTATTTAATACAATTTGTAGGTGTGAATATATGTATTTTTAAGATTCTATTTATTCATTTGAGAAAGATACAGAGAGAGAGAGAGAGAGCACAAGCAGGGGGAGAGGCAGAGGGAGAGGGAGAAGCAGACTCCCTGCAAAGGACGGCTCAGAGCAGGGAGTCCGATTGGACTCAATTCCAGGACTCAGAGATCATGACCCAAGTTGAAGGCAGATAACCAACTGAGCCACCCCGGGCGTCCCAGGTTTGAATATTTTTAATCATTATAATTTTGAAATATAATGAAATACATTAAAGGGAATAAAACAAATAAATGGTATAATAATTAATTAGTGTAAAGTGAACACCTGTGTAACCACCACTCAGAGCATACCTGAACATCAGAAGCCCCTATGGCCCTTCTCCTTCCCAAATGTAACAATTATCCTCAATTACCCTGACATCTAATACTGTTCAGTTTTTCTCGCTTTTAACCTTTTATACATCAAATCAGATAGTTTATGCTTTTTTTGTATCTGGCTTCTTTCACTCCTCATTATGTTAGTGAGGTTTGTTAGTGTTGTATTCATCTGTAGTTCATTCATTTTCTTGACCGAATAGTGTAACATAAATTCCAAAATTAACTCATCCATTTTACTGTTTTAACACTTAGATTGTTTCCAGTTTTGAGCTCTTACAAAATGGTTGTTGCATGCATGGGTACCTGCCCAGAAATGCACGGTACAAACGGAGAGCTGTAAGCTCTGGGAGTTGAATCCAAGACAGAGCACTCAAGAGTTGGCCCATGACCCTCCTTATTGTCTTTCCTAGAAACCATGTGTCCCCATGGCAAAATTATAAGATGGCAAAGTTATAAGATGCAAAGTTGGCAAAGTTCTGGCAAAGTTGGCAAAGTTATAAGATGCAGGCACATTGGATCCTTGAGTCACCACTTGGAAGGAGCTGCCTTGGTGCAGCCATTATGGAATCAATACAGAGTTCCCTCAAAAAATTATAGAACTGCCATATATCTGGCAATCTTACTGGTGAGCGTTTATCCAAAGAAAATGAAAACACTAGTGCAAAAAGATAACTGTGTCTCCATATTCATTGAGGCATTATTTATAATAACTGAGACATGGAAGCAAGTTAGGTGTCCCTCGATGGGTGAATGGATAAAGAAAATGTGTCATATATACACACAATGAAATATTACTCAGCCATCAGAAAGAACGAAATCTTGTCATTTGTGACAGCATAGGTGGACTTAGAGGGCATTTAGCTAAGTGAAGTAAGTCAGACAGTGAAAGACAAATATTGTGCAATCTCACTTAGATGTGGAATCTAAACAAACAAACAAACAACAAACAAGTTCACAGATACAGAGAACAGATTGGTGGTTGCAAGAGGTGGGGGTGGGGTGGGTTGGGCGAAATGGGTAAATTTTTTTTCAGTTTAAATAAATTGAATAAAACTTTTTTTTTTTTTAAAGGGCTATAGGATACAAAAACTAACATATGGCCAGATGTAGGGGTAGAGCAAAATGTTGTATAGCCTAAATCTTACTAAATTTGAGGGCCTTCTTTAGAGAAAAAATAACCTATTAGAAAATTAGGTATAAAAATAAATATTTATTTGAAAAAAGAAATTCATCACAAGCTATAAATCTTAAAAGGTCAACATATACCATAAACTTCAAGAAAAATCCACAAGAAAACATTTTTTTTAAGATTTTTTAAAAAATTTATTTGACAGACAGAGATTATAAGTAGGCAGAGAGGGAGGAAGGGAAGCAAGCTCCCTGCCAAGCAGAGAGCCTGATGTGGGGCTGGATCCCAGGACCCTGGGATCATGACCTGAGCCGAAGGCAGAGGCTTTAACCCACTGAGCCACCCAGGTGCCCCTCACAAGAAAACATTTTAATAAACTGTCTGACACACCTCCCCACACTGTTTCCCAACATTTTTAAGCTGCATATCCTTTTCCTCCAGTTTTACTGAGATAGAGTTGACAATTAAAAATTGTGTATATCTAAGGTATACAACCTGATAATTTGATACATAGATACATTGTGAAATATTCACCCCCATCAAGGCAATTAACATCATTCATCATCTCACACAGTTACCTTGGTGTGGTGTGTGTGGTGAGAAATTGAAGCTCTACCCTCTTAGCAAATTTCAAGTATATGATACAATGTTGTTAACTACAGTTACATAGTTGTACAGGAGATCTCCAGAACTTACTTATCTTGTGTAACTGAAACTTTGTGCCCCTTGAACAGCATCTCCCCTTTTCCCCACTAGCAGCATACCCTTTGACCACCTCTTCAATTTTGTAATTAGGTGATATATCTTCCACGAGAGGAATGGGAATGTACTACATGTTGCAGGTGAACTTGCTGTTTGCGATCCTGGTACAGGTTTTTGTCCTCACAGACATAGGAAATCCTATCTATTCTATTTAATGTGATTTCCTCCAGAAAGCTATAATGCATTTGTAATCATCTGTGCTGCATTTATAGTACATTCCTGATAGGAGAGAACTCCCATTTTGACGGGGTGTAGTGGAGAGATTCAAACGCTCTCTAGGACTCAACACTCCCAAGACGGTGTTTTATGATGTAAAAAATCGCCACAGACTAGCTTCTAGCTCTGTCCATCTCAAAATCTGTTGTTACTCCTTTGTTACTGGAACGCTTCCAGTGCTGGGGAAGGGAGGACTGTTCAGGTGGACACCAACCCGACAGACAGTATAGGTGTGTCATTGGTAGCCCTTTGTACACCTGAATGGCTAGGAATAACATTACACATAGGAACTATCAAACCACATAAATACATCTCATGGGGTCAGAGCTAGCCAGGTGTCTGAGGGCTAAAACATAAAGGGATACTCATTTTTAGGGTCATGCAAATGCAAGGTTGGCCTCCCTAAATTTTGCTCCCTTGGCACTTCCCTTACCTCACCCTCGTCCTGGCTCTGTGTCCATTAATCACAAACAAAATGTGTCTCCAACTTCACTTTCCTTGATTAAAAAGTTCACAGCCACTTCAAAGCTGCTCAGTATAGTGGGGAGTTAGAGTTAAGACAGTGGACTTAACTGGTAGTGGTTAAAATATGTTATTTTGGGGCACCCGTGTGGTTCAGTCAGTTAAGCATCTGCCTTCAGCTCAGGTCATTATCTCAGGGTCCTGGGATGGAGCCCGGATTTGGGATCTCAGAAAGCAGATCCTTTGGGAGTCTGCTTCTCCCTCTCCCTCTGTTCTTCCCTGCTGCTCGTGCTCTTGCTCTCTCAAATAAATAAATGAAAAATATTTTAAAAATGTTATTTTGCAAAATTTACAATTCACATTGCCATGGCCCCTAGGGCCTTGGAAGGGGCTTTCTGCAAGTGAGGGGCCCTGAGTTCATGTACCTAGTCTCTTGATAAATTGACTTCCCCATTCCCACGCGGTCATACTTCCAAGACTGAGTTTATCACACCAGCTTATTTTTGCTTTCAGGAAATCAGTTAAGAGCTTAGTCTCTGATCACTAAATTCTACACCTGAAAGTAATATTACACTGTATGGTTTTTTTTTTTTTTTACACTGTATGTTAGCTAACTGGAATTTAAATTAAAAACTGGAAGAAAAAAGAAAAGGAAAAAAAAAAGAGCTCGGTCTCTGGAGCTGGACTACTTGGGTTTGCATCTTGTCACTGCTACTCTATGAGTTGGTGAACCCTGAGCACTTTTTCAATATGTCCGTGCCTGAGATTTTCTCATCTGCAAAATGGATATAAGTAATGTTAAGATTAGAGGAATTAGTTCAGGCAGAGTGCTTACAACAAAGTGTCTGGCCCATAAAGGCTCAAGATGTATTGGCTATTGCTATTACTGCTACTGTTGTTGTAGCATTAGTATTCAAGTTAGTAATATGTGCTGCTTCTCAAACCACACTGTGAACCCCGAGGAGACCAACTAGACCTAGAGAGGCTTCACTGTCTTCTGAATGGACTGTTTGCTAAATGTAGGAGGAAGGCAGAGAGGAAGAAGACAGAAGTAAATGGAATCCCCGCCCCCCACTCCGTTAATATTAATGTCACCAAATTACATTTAAGAAAAAAGAAGAAATTTGTTCTATAAATTAATTTGCTGGCTCATGGCATACCAAACGAGTATTAACACTGGACCTGACATCATTGTGCTCCCAGATGATAGCAGGATAAATTATTTTAGCAGAAAAATCACACGACGGGCTGTAGGCCGACTTTAAAAGTTGCCTTTTAATTCAGTCTAGTGCAGACACATCCCCAAGACACTTCTTTTCCCCTTGGGTGGAGCACTGTGGTCAGCAAGGGGCCCCGGAGCACAGGCTGCAACCGAGAAGGGGAGGCGGGGAGCGAGGGGAGCAGGAGGAAGCTCAGGCTTCCCTGCCCGCGTGGGCGCAACAAGGCGGAACTGGAGGTGGAGTCCGTCACTGCGCCAGGGGTGGGGGTGGGGATGCCGCCCTCCGCTACCCCGCTCCTCCAGGCGCCGCGCCCCAGAACGGGTGTTCGGGGTCCTTCCCCGGAGCGGACGTTCGCGGCCCCTGCGACCGCCCCGCATCCGCCGTCCGCGCTCCGCTCCAGCCCCGCGTAGCACCGCCTCCGGCCCGGGGGTGCAGGGGCCCGGCACGCAGGCTGGGGGCGCTGTGGCCTCGGCGCCGGGACAGAGCGGACGGGCCGGCCCCGCCTCTTTCCCTTCCCCGCCCGCCCCCCACGCGTCGTGTCGCCGGGAAGCCGGGAGGAGACAGAGCGCTCGAGCTCCGCGGCGCTCGGCCCGCAGTCCTCTGACCGCGCGGAGCAGAGCCAGGTGGCGCCGCCCGAGCCGGGAGCCGCGACCCTCCCCGGCCTCCTTTGTCTGGGAGCGTGCGGCCTGGAAGCGCGGCTCTCGGGGGCCGGGCCCGCGGCCACAGCGCCCGGTGACAGCTCTTCCCTCCCGGAGGGCTCCGGGACAGAGGGGCGGTGGGGCCGGGCCCTGCTCGCCCGCGCCTGCACGCCCGAGCGCGCGCCCCGATGCCCCCGCAGCAGGGGGACCCCGCATTCCCCGGCCGCTGCGAGGCGCCGCCCGTTCCGCCGCGCCGGGAGCGCGGGGCGCGCGGGGGGCGCGGGCCCGGGGCGCCGGGGGGCCGGGGGCGCGCGGGCGGTGGCGAGGGGCGCGGCGTCAAGTGCGTGCTTGTCGGCGACGGCGCGGTGGGCAAGACCAGCCTGGTGGTGAGCTACACCACCAACGGCTACCCCACCGAGTACATCCCCACCGCCTTCGACAACTTCTCGGGTGAGCCGGGCCGGGTGGCGCTCCGGGCGCGGGGGCGCGTGGCCGCACAGTCGGCCGGCGCGGTGCCGAGGGCCGGGGTGCCGCGGGGAGGGAGCGCGGCGCGGAGGTCGCGGGTCCCCGAGGAGGCTGCGGGGCCGGCCGGGCTCTGGCTGTGGGATGCGGACCCGGCGCGGAGCGCAGGACCTTTCCCGAGCCTCGGGGACTGGGCGCGCGCGGGGCCACCCGAGGGAGCGCGGGGCAACGGGAATCCCGGGACCGGAGCCCGGCGGAGGGGCGGAGGACCGGAGACGGAGCCTGTGCGGAAAGAAACGAGACGGCAATTTAGTAACAATCAGGTGGAGTTCAGGTGGCCTGGTCAGTGGGCTGCGTAGAAAAGTTGCGTCAGGTCGTCGTTGCTGGCGCAGCTGCAGAGTTTCAGTGGGAAGGTGCCTCGCAGGTGCCATTACCTGGGGCCCCGAGAGCCAGTGCTTTTCCTTTTGGTGGCTTCCCTCACAAGGTGCGTCTCCGCTTTGAAGAGCCACAGAGACGGCAGGAAATAGTTGATTTAGTGAGAACAGCACCCAGGGCTCAGGTTTGGATTCCAGTTGGAGAGTAAACGCGATTTCTTCTGGGTCCCCCTCCCGTGCTCCCACTGCTCCCACTTCCATGTCCCCTGTTGGCTCCGTTTCTGATTCTTAGTATCTTTTCACAGTCTCTCTCAGCTATTTACAGCTCTTATGTATGGTGTGCTGTTGTTTTTTGGTTAGTGGAAACAAAGATAAAGGATTTTTCAGGTCTTTTTGAAATTTCCTAAAGTTAAAATCCACAGAGGCTAATGTGAAGCACTCTCTCTTGCTCTTAAAGAACCAAAAAAAAAAAAAAGCTTCTTGATCTCGAAAGTCCCATGGCAAGGGCTTGCTTGCTTTCTTCCACTGTGTCTAAGGTACCCTTCATGAAACTGCTACAGTAATGGGTTTCCACGCAGTTTTGTTTTTTCCCTCCCAGCTGACTAGTGTAAATATTAAAAGCCACTTAGAAAGTTGTGCTGAGGCCCACCTGCGTGCTTAATTCAGCTAGAAACCTCCAGGCTGTGCCCAGATGCAGGCCTCTGCCCCATACCCCATCCCAGTGGAAAGGTGGGCAGGCTTTCTTTTCTTTTCTGTGTTAATCCTCCCTTTGAGCTGACACCGTGAGATAAGCAGTGCCCTCTTCTATAAACAGGACAATGCAGGCAGCCTGTGTTTGCTCATGTTCTCAAAACAAGCTACAATTTTATGATAAACCATGAAGTCTTGGAACATTTCCCAAGGGAAAACAGAATTATTTGTGAGGTTTTCCACTGAGTTAAAAGGGCAAGATTGGTTCCTATTTACACCCCCCAGTATTGTTTTTAGGCTTTTTGAAACAAGTGTGATAGGAAAATAAATCTTCTGGGGCTGGGCAAAAAGGACAGGCCTTTCTGGGGTGCCCTCAAATGGCTCAGGGATTTGCAGCTTCAGCCCTAGCCAGGCAGTGAATTGCTAGTCCTGGAGGGTTTGTAAACAAAAATGCCTCCATGGGGTCTCCTTGTTTTAGGCAAGTCTTTAATTCATTAGGGGACCCAGAATAGCTGAAGGGTAGTTGCAGCTGAAACCATTATTTTCCTGAAAGGGGTTAAAAGACACCCCCTGATCCTTGTTTTTGTCTTGTTTTTCAGCTGTGGTGTCTGTGGACGGGCGGCCTGTGAGACTCCAGCTCTGTGACACGGCTGGACAGGTTAGTGGCTCATCATGGCTCAGTGCTGGGAAGGGAAGTGGCCTTTGAGAGGCCTCAGAATAACCTCCCTCCATAACTGGGTTGTTCTAAAGCCTCATGAAGTGGCCCCAGCCCTGCCCTTCTCAGAGGGTGGTGGGCAGGGGGAGAGAGCTCTGAGCTCCTAAAGCAGCGTTTGGCTCAGCTTTGCGTGGTCAGGACTGGGGGACAACAAGGTCAAGAACAGGAGTTCTTACAGGAGTTTCTGATCTTAATTACTGCCTTGTTTTTATTAAAGAGTATCAGTGATGCTTTGTGATCATTTCTCAAAGTAAGTTGGTGACAGGATCATTTTATTAGAGGTCAACAAGAAAACTATTAAATTTACTCAAGAAAAAGATGGAGTTGTTTTTTTTTTTTTTTAAGATTTTATTTATTTATTTTAGAGAGAGAGAAAGAGAGCACAGTAGGGAGGGGCAGAGGGAGAGGGAGAGAGAATCTTAAGCAGACCACACACTGAGTGTGGAGCTGGACATGGGGGTCAATCCCAGAACCCTGAGATCATGACCCTGAGCCGAAATCAGGAGCCAGACACTCAGCCAACTGCACCATCCAGCACCTGCCCCCCCCCCCCCGCCCCCACAAGAGAAATGGAGATGATGTCACTGGGTGACTATTTCCCTCCCTAAGCCGTGGTTGGAATCACTAGGGCCACCCCCTTCCTTAGAAGCAGAGAAAGAGTGGTCGAAGCTCCCTGAGCCGGGGGAATGAATGAGCCTGGACACAGTCTCTCCAAATCTTGTCTCAAGGGTCAGGCACTTGGATGACCCACCCAGGGAGGGATGGGTACTGGGGTGTGCCCTGATGAGCTCCAAGGACTCCTCATCGGCCAATCGTCCCCCAGCACGGTGCTGGTCACTGAGGTTTCCTTGTTCTCTGTGAGAACCCAGGGTGCCGTGTCTTGAGTTTTTCAGTTTGACAGTTGGTCAACATGGAGTCTTTCCTGTCCGCACCAGAGTTAGAGCAAATGTGGAGGGGCCCTCTGTAGGAGCGTGAAGCCACCTCACTTTCTGAGGCGTTGTCACATGGCCGTCTGTGTGTAAGAAGCCGGCTTTCCAGGATTCCCAAGTGCCCATCCAGACAGCTTGCCTACCCTGGGATAGCAAATTCACAAGTTTATTTCTCAGAACTCAAGTTGCCACAAGACAGGGCAGCTTTGGTGCCCATCTCAGTGCTGGTTTGGCAGTGAGTGGTGGCCTTGCGTGTCCTGTCGCCTCTGTCCCGGAGCATCTCCACTGCCCCTTCAGCGGCAGCTGAGAAAAGCAAACACACCGTGTATCTTCCTGCCTGTGGGAGGGAAAACTCAAAAGAACACCGCTCTTCTAATATTGAATCTTTCCAAATACCCTTCTGATATTTGTTATGAAAACTTAACTGCTTTGTATAAAGTAAGAATCTTTTTCCTATCACGTGTCTGACTTTCTGATCTTGGAAATGAGGTCAGAGTCGCACGTCGATAAATGTAGGTGTTCCTGCTAACGCAAGAAGGGGCAGCTGAGCAGCCCAAGAATAAGACTGTCGACAGGAAGCCCAGGAGACACGGTTCCTGGGGACCCTTGAGAGGAGAAGCAGGCAGATCAGTGTACATCCCTGCCCATGAATGGGGGCTCCCGTGTTAGTGGTTGACTCCTGTCCAGACAGGGCTTCCTGAGTTGGGCTTCGAGGCCTAGGGCCTGCGTGGTGCCTGGCACAGAACAGGGCTTAATCATGGTTTATAATGCAGACATGAAATGGAGTGCTGGGTCCTGGGGAATGCCACCTTATGCCCTGGCCTGCCCCTCAGGAGACTTAAAGTTTGTAGGGAAGATAAACCAGTTGGTAGAACTTGTGAAAGAAAGCAGGGAAGTGCCATAAGGAGGAAGGCAGTGTGGGCTTGGGGTGCAGGACAGGTGGGTCTGGGAGAAAACCACTGGGCCATTTTGAAAGGGCATAGGACTATCACCAGAAAAACTTTGTGGAAATGATGCTGAATTATTGAGGCAGAGTTCGATTTTTTCCTTAGAATGGTCTGTTTAAAAGTTGGGGAAGCACAGGAACAATTTTGGAGATACTTTCATGAAAAAAGTTTATAATTAGGGAAATAAAAGGACTTTGGTGCAAGTTGTTAAGCTTTAGTTTATTTGGAAATTATTCTTCTGGCCTCCTGGTGATGTTTTCATTGAGTTTTACTGTATTTTTAAACTGCTGTATTAGTAAAGTATACCTTACTATGTAATGAATGAATAAACCAACTTCAAGAACTATGAAAACTATACAGCTGGTAAGATAAGATCATTTTTTTCCCCTACTCCCCAAGTATCCATTAGGACTTATTTTGACTAATAGCAAAGCCAGTCAGAGTGGTAGTTCTTTCCTACCTTCCTTATTCCTTAGCCCAGATCTGATAAACAGCCTTTTAAGGGATTTGATTGGACACCTGCTGTATTTCCCTAACATTGACTCACTCAGTGAAACACCCTCCTCCTCCAGGCAGTCCTCAGGATAGCCTTGCGGGCTTAAAGTGACTTGTGCGACTTCTGTTTCCAGCTCCAGGGGAGCGTGAGCACAGATGGTCCTCACCTGGGCCCCAAATGCAGATTTCAGATGGAAGCTCAGAGCAAGAATATGGCTCTACTGGCTGTATTTAAATATATATGTATATATAAATATTTATGCTTAATATATTTATATATATTATATTATATATATTTCTATAAATATATAAATATTTACACACACACACACACACACACACACACACTAGAAATTGCTTTTTGTGTCTTTGGGTTTTCTTGTTAGGGAGGTAGGTGAGCCCAGAAAATTTTAAAGGAGTTTTTAACACTGGACTCACAGTCTGACTCAAGTGAAAATAGATCAGAGACTGAGGACTTGGAGAACATACCTTTGGCATAAGAGAAGGGGACCATCACTGAAATAGGAGAAGGTCACTATGGCATTGCCAGGAGAAGCTGAAAATTCTTCCATCTTTTGACCCATGAGGCACTTGGAAAAATCCATGCTAAAAAAAAACAAAAACTCGTATTGGAGCTTGACTAACACTACCATCCAGTGGCCTGTCCGCCCCGCCCTGTCCCTGACTGAATTCCATATGTCGTCCCCACAGACCTGGCAGGTGCCTGCTAATCCCTGGGCCACAGAACACCTCTCCTGGAGGGGACATTCCAGTGGGCCTTGACACGCATGTGCTTGCTGTGTTGATTTCAGCAAATAGCTAAGGTTTCTGGTCAGGCGGTGAGGAGGACGGCTTGATTTCTGCTGTGCTCCCTGAACCCTTTAGCCAGAATCTTAAGACGTCTGGGGAGCCTGATTTCCAAAGCCCTGTCACAAGGCCCAGCCCCTGAGCTTGCCTTTCTTTTTATTGGTAATGTAACCCTAGCTCGCTGGGCACGGCCAAGGGTGACTGGCTTCCAACAGTGAGCTGCTGCTGCCTGAGGGAGTTGACCTTCCGCAGGGCTCGGTTTTGTGCTTCTCTGAGGCCTTGGAGAACAGAGGCAATGTTTTATAACGAGATCTTTGCTGGGCCATCGTCGACTTGGTGGAGTTTCTGTGTTGATTCTTCCAGCACAAAGTTGGCACTAAGAAAGCCAAGGTGTTCTTTTTAACCATCATGCATAGAAGTCTGACAAGTGGCAGAGACAAAACACCAGATTCATTCCTGAGCCTTTGAGCTGGTTGACTTTAGTGCTGTTAGTCGGTTGTTACCATACAGCGGAAATATGGAGCCTCAAAGGAAGAAAGTGCCTTCAAGTAAAACAGATCCAGGTTTCCTTTTTACCTGCAGAACAGCCACGGATGCAGAATCCTCTGCACGTAACTAGGAATTGGTAAACGATCAGAGTATGCCAACGGTGTTCTGAAACCTGGATGACATTCCACTTTTTCATGCCACTAGGAAGATATCTGTCATAGGACACCTGTGTGAGGCTGGCACCCACAGGTAGAAATTATATTTTACTTTTTTTTTAATTTTTAAAAAGTTTTATTTATTTTTTAAGATTTTATTTATTTATTTGACAGACAGAGATCACAAGTAGGCAGAGAGGTAGGCAGAGAGAGAAGGGGGGAAGCAAGCTCCCCACTGAGCAGAGAGCCCGATGTGGGGCTGGATCCCAGGACCCTGGGATCATGACCTGAGCCAGAGGCAGAGGCTTTAACCCATTGAGCCACCCAGGCACCCCAAAAGTTTTATTTTTTAACTTTCTTTAAAGTAATATTTGTACCCGATGTGGGGCTTGAACTCACAACCTTGAGATCAAGCGTAGTATGTCTTCCGACTGAGCCAACCAGTACCCCCCAGTCCCTGATAGAAATTTTAAATAGGGATGAGATGATGTAAATATCTTCCTATGAGAGAGTTGAGAGAAAGCTTTCAGTTCAATGATTGGGTCATGGCAGGCGACTGTGAAGAAATGCTGATTTGGAGACACACATCCCTACAGGGGCTGAGGACAGGTTTGTCCATGGCCAAATCCCCAGGCCCTGCATGGTGCCCAGAGGCCAGCGTGCATCTCTGTTGAGTGGATGACCTTGGCAGGTAGTTAGCAAAATGATGCTTCGCTGTTACCATGAACTGGCATTATTCCATCCAGTTCTCTATACCCAGAGTAGGGCGGGTATGCCCTTGCTTGGGTCCTTTATCAGCCCAAAGCACGCTGCATGGAGGCCCCTGCTATTTGCAGGGAAAAAAGAAGGGAAAGGAAGTTCACAAAGGAAGAAAGGAGGGAGAACAAGAGATCAAGCAAAAACAAAGAGGTATATCAAGCAAGAATGAGAATGTGTCAGCCAATGTGACATTGCAAGTCACATTGTCGTAGGTGACTTTGAGAGGCATAGGCTCTCTGCACTGCCAAGGAGAAGCCCGTCAGAGGTTGTCAGCTCCAATTCTGGGTCTGTCCTTGTGTCTGATTGACATCACTCAGTGGCCTGTGCCTGCCCTGAGTGTGTGCAGTGCAGATGGGACGAGGCTGCCGTGAGGGCAGGCAGGGCTGGATTCTTCAAGAGAGAGCTGGGTTAGTCTGGGGATCTCTGGGGTCAGACTGGAGACTTGGGGATCCTTGTGGTTGCTGCCTCGATTTTAGAAGAGTAGCTAGATACCAGAGTTGGAAGAGTAAATCTGGGTTACTCTAAGCTGAATCCTGGAGAAAGGAAATTTGATTTTCATAATTCACCTACTGTCAGTGCTTTTTCTGTAGTAAGTTGCCAGAAGGCCGTGAGCGCTGGTGCAAATGTCGAATGCCTGGGGCAGGTTTGGGGGCCTGGCAGTGCAGGAGCCCTGCACAGGTAAACAGCAGCATCACTTTCTGAGGCCCTGGCCTGTCCCTCCATAACCAGACCTGCCAGACCCTTTCGAGAAAAAACAGTAAAGTGGTCTCTTTGCCGATGAGACTCGATTAAAGAGGTAACTCTCAGCTGCTCTGATTGGTTGCAGGATGAGTTCGACAAACTCAGGCCTCTCTGCTACACCAACACGGACATCTTTCTTCTGTGCTTCAGTGTGGTGAGCCCCTCCTCCTTCCAGAACGTCAGCGAGAAGTGGGTGCCAGAGATTCGATGCCACTGTCCCAAAGCCCCCATCATCCTCGTGGGGACTCAGTCGGATCTCCGAGAAGATGTCAAGGTCCTCATCGAGCTGGACAAATGCAAAGAGAAGCCGGTGCCCGAAGAGGCGGCCAAGCTGTGTGCCGAGGAAATCAAAGCTGCCTCTTACATCGAGTGTTCAGCCTTGACTCAGAAAAACCTCAAGGAGGTCTTTGACGCCGCCATCGTCGCAGGCATCCAGTACTCGGACACTCAGCAGCAGCCAAAGAAGTCCAAAAGCAGGACTCCAGACAAAATGAAAAACCTCTCCAAGTCTTGGTGGAAAAAGTACTGCTGTTTCGTATGATGCCAGCTGGGCGCCCGATGGGTGGACTTAGACGGCTTCCGCGGTAGAAGCTATATTAGCTGAAGGACCCCCGTCATTGTGGAGGAGCCGTAGAGACAACGTGCACACGCGCGTGTGTGTATGCGTGTGTGTGTGTGTGTGTGCGCGCGCGTGTATCATAGCTGGAGCTCTCAATTTATGTCTTCTCTCTTGCCTTTGATGTTCTTGTGTGTTTGAGCTTAGGGACGAGCTAATCATTAATTACACAAGATGTTTTTGAAGTCAGTGGAGCATTTTTCGTAACTCTGGAAACGTAGAGCTCTAGACCTCTGCGTTAATTTATATCTAATTTGAAAAAGATGCCTCAAATCGGGGTGTCAAGAATGAAATCTTTTTTTTGCTACGTTATAATGGACCGATGAACACAAGAAGAAAATGGTGTGGTTAACCCTCGTCCCTTGACCAAGGGCTCCTTCCTGCAAGTGCGTTACGGCCCCCGGCCAGCTATGGTGAAAATCACTCTTAGCTCTGAGACTCCACACACTTTTAAAAAACTTTTTTAAGGAGCTAAAATCTGAGGGGGAATAAAAAAGAGAGACCTCTGCCTCCAAGACCTCAAACCAGTCACTTTTGTCATAGGCGAATTCCTGGTTGCTTCCGATTGAATATCAACCAGCAGAGAACATGCTACTGGACTCTGGCACTGGGTACACTGGAAAGAAAAAGTTGTTCATTGGGATTTTTCCTTCTTAGACCAGTCGTGTTAACATCGTACAAACATAGCCAACATGCCTTGTGGAGTAAAGCAAGTGGTAGAAGCTCTTGTGTTTCCTGTGGGGAGTGACTCGTGTTGGGATCAGAATGTGATATTTGCTTGTTCGTATGCGCGCACCAAACTGCCTGAATCCCTGGTGGCTAGAACACCAGGGAACACCTATCGGAATTGTCTTAAAACTTCCATACTGTTTAACTTAGCCCACCTGCAGGGACGTGGACATGCTTGAAAGGCCTGCAGCAAGCGTTTGTAGGGAACAAGGTGTACTTTTTTCCCCTTAAGTCAGCTGAAATGTATACACACACACACACACACACACACACACACACACACACACGGCTGTATTTGCTGCTGATTCAGACTTTTAAACAGTTAATGAAAAAAACCCAGCCACAAAAACAGATGTGAGGGAAGCTCAGCTTCCTCTTTTTCTTACTTTTTTGAACAGCTCTCTTTCTGATTGTATCCCTCTCAGATATGATTTTAAGTATACCTTGACACAGTTTTGAGACCATCTTAAAACACGAACATCTCTTAAAATCTGTTTTAAACCTGAATGTCTCTTGAAACCTGTTAAAACCACCAGTTAAAGCCACAGATGCCTTTGAGGGACCTGGCAGAGACCAGGGCTAGGAGTCAGAGGGCCCCCCGGGGGCGGGGGACCACAGCTCCCCCTTTTGGCTGCATCCTTGCTGGGGGATAGCCGGGAAACCATGTACTTGTGAAACATTTGTGTTCTTCAAGGTGCCAGTTTCTAGGGCTTCATCTTTCGGAGAAAAAAAGTCCCCTATCAGAAGAGTAGGTTTTTCTTTACTTTGTGACGGCTGTGATTCTGAGATGCCAAAAGGTAGCCTAACCCGTGACTTACAACGTCTGGTTGCGGTGGGTCAAGCAGAGTTACCAAAATCAACTCGGCAACTAGGAAACTTCCGTAGAGCCGGTGGATAGAAGAAGTCTTACCTTTCTGTGGGTCTTGTGTTGTCTTTTTTATATTTAAAAAAGCGAATTTGTGTTTTCCTATAGAAGAAGTAAAAGATTGGGTTCGGGACTTCTTTGATTTCTGTTAGTAAATAAAATTAACTGGTTTCTCTGTTGAAAAAACAAAAATACTTCTATTGGTCACTATTTATTTTTCTTTGGCTAGCCGTCCTAGTTTCCTAAAGCGTCTAGTTCTAGCCTGAGTGAATAAGATGACGTCATTTGCTGAAATGCTCCAAACAGACTCTAAGCTGGGCTACCCGGCTCACCTGTTTCCCAGGCTGGGCTCCACCTGCTCTGGTGCAGAGGTAGGAGTGGCGGGAGAGCTACTGGGTGAGTAATTTTAAATAGTACTTTTGTATTTAAGCAAAGGTCATGGAGTACTATGCAAATTAATTTTTAAGATAGAACACAAGACTTGAAAGACATTTCATGCACGAGACAGCATATGGGGCTGCTCTTGGTCCCCCTGTGGGGTGGGCCACTGGGGGAAAGCTGGCAGGGAACACACCTGTGTTAAGCTTTACTTAAGTGGTTTATTTTTAACCCAACTCGATACAACCTCGTACCATTAGCGCAAAAAATCCAGAGGGTTGACCTTTAAACACAGCCATTTTTAGCATGTTGCTGCATTTTCTAGACTAGTAAAGGTACAATTGATTGGTTGTACTTGAGGCTTTCCTCCATTTTTCTTTCTTTGTGTGATTGGGCAGAAAAGTTCTTAAAAGTATGTGCTTGAGTTAAACATGAAGTTGATTCACTTCAAGGTGCAAACACTGTTAAACTCGCAGCTTGGTTTTGCAGACAATTTTATGAATGGTGCTTTAGGAAATGCCACTCTAGCTCACCTCCTACAGTGTAGCCTAGTCATAATTGAAAAAATCCAATAGACTCCCAACCTGTTTTATCACTTTTTACCATGTATGTGGCAATGAGCCTTTTGCAATATTGTTCTCTGTGCTTGACAGACTTCAGGAGAAGCCATCCAGGTATGACATGAGCCAAAACGAAGGCAAGGTCTTCTTCCCAGGCTGTCGTAGCCTGGTGCCTTAGCAAGTTGTGCGTCTCTGTTTTCAAGTGTAAATGATGTTGAGTAGAATGTTGACCTTGAAAATGCTGTAAGTGAGGTGGTATGAAATAAATTCTGACCTATGGATATAACTGCACTTGCTTTTTCTACCAAGGAACGTCAGTGGGAGTGAATAAAAGCTTAGCCACATCAAAAGCAGCCTGGTTGGGAAGCGTCATGGCGGCCCCCAGAGGCGTTTGGGGAAACATCCCTGACCAACGTTAAATGCTTACTGAATATGGGGTTTTGAGAATTCGGGGGTCACAGTCTGACATAAGCCCTCTCTGACTCTGGGTTTGTAGTGGATCGTGTGCTGGTGGCCCACTTGTGTCCCTGGCAGGAATGCTGTTCTTGGAGCCAAACATCGGGGCCCAGAGAAGCACTTAGAGTGTGATGATGGGTAGGTCACTAGATCTGAGCCTCAGTTTCCTTATGTGTGAAAGTACTGCTTTTCTCTCCAGGCTATTTGAATCCTGAATGAGAATCCATGGGCACATGTGGGGTCAGTGTCCAAGATCTCTAAAGGCCATGGAAGGGATTAGGCCATGAGCTTCGCCAGCTTAATCAGCAAGGCCAGCAAGGCTCAGACATCCCCGTCCCTGAGGGCTAGGGAGTGCCCGTGTGGCATATGTGAACTTTCGGGCAGCCTTCTCATCACACCACCAGGATGTGGCCCTTACCCCAGGGAATGTGGTGCTGATGACAGGACCATTCTGGGAGGCCAGATGTCATCCTGCTTCCACCCTTAAGCCTCAGGGGTGAAGGACTCCTGGTCATCTAGGAAAGGATGGGCCTGTTGCCCTCATTCCCCATGGTGCCTCTGTGGCCAGGCCTTGACTCTTCGTATCCACCGAACATTCAACCACTTTGCTGTGCAGAGAGCAGCTAAAATTACTGGTGCTGATACCCAGCTCGCCGTCACTGGCCTCCACTGGCAGTCTAATCCCAGCTCAGGTGACCTGGAAGTATCTCTTCAACCACCCCCTGCTTGCCTTCCCAGGATACATTGACAGAGCCCCCAGTCCCTTTAGATGTGGTCAGGGAATGCTTCATGGAGACGTTTCCAAGACCTGAAGGAGGTGAGAGAATGACAAGTATCTGGGAGGGAAGTTTTCTGAAGGGGAAACGGCAGGTGCAAACGCCCTGAGGCAGAGCAAGTGTCTGTTACGTCCTGGAGGCCAGTGTGGACAGGACTAAAGTAGTGCAGGGAGAGGAGCAGGAGATGACCTAGAGGAGGGGAGGAGGTCAGGGAAAGGATGAGGTGAGAGAGGCACCTGACATCATGGAGGGGATGGTGTGACAGAAGGGCATGGGAGGAGAGGGCTGGGCTCCAGAGTCCGGCTCTTCGGGTTTGAATCTTAGCTCTGCCACTTACTGGTTGTGATTCCTTAAACAACTTAGATTTTCTGTGTCTAATACAAATGGCTATCAGACACATGAAAAAATGTTCATCATCACTAGCCATCAGGGAGATTCAAATTAAAACCACACTGAGATCCCACCTTACACCAGTTAGAATGGCCAAAATTAGCAAGATAGGAAACAACAAGTGTTGGAGGGGGTGTGGAGAAAGGGGAACCCTCTTACACTGTTGGTGGGAATGCAAGTTGGTGCAGCCACTTTGGAGAACAGTGTGGAGATTCCTCAAGAAATTAAAAATAGAGCTTCCCTATGACCCTGCAATTGCACTACTGGGTATTTACCCCAAAGATACAGATGGAGTGAAAAGAAGGGCCATCTGTACCCCCAATGTTTATAGCAGCAATGGCCATGGTCACCAAACTGGAAAGA